AGGGAAAGGACATCTGTGAAACACCAAGCCTGTTCCTAAGGGCCACAGCTTTCCAAAGAGGCTCATGAAGAGCCTCCGCAAGTGGTGCCACTCACACCAACACAACAAATTTCTCACCTGTGCTAAGGTTTTTGAGGTACAGGAAAACACTCCCCTCTGGCAAACAGGCACAGACTGAAGAGGGTCACGGAACAAAAATTAAGTAGAACTTGAACCAGCGCCTATTTGTAAGCTTTAAACAATTTGGAAAGTAGCAGAGAAGGGAAGAAAATACCTTCTACGCTAAAGGATAAAAAGTCATGGTGCTTTTATGTTTGAGACTTCACAGCTGTGTTTCAAGCTTTGTTTCTACTGCTTAGAAAGTTAGAAACGTATTAAAATAAAGCCAGACAGAAACTTCCAGACAGAGCTAAGCAAAGCCCTCCTAAAACGGCACTTGCCCTTGTTAGCAGAGAACTCAGCCAAAGATGCCGGGCCGTGGGAGGACTGGGGAAGCGTGCACCACTGCAAGGAGGATGCTCCCGAACACGCGATCGTGCAGAGGTCCAACGTGAAACTAGCAGATAAAAACTGATCTTTTTTCTTCTTCTGTTCTCTTTCTTTGTCTTTTTTTTTTTATAATCCATTGTGAGCTAGATTTCTATGGTGTTCCCAGAGATCCTGCAAATTCATCACACTCCAAAACTCATGCAAGGTGTACAAGCAAGCTTGAAGAATAATCACAGACAAGGTGCTTTTTGTACAAACGTGTGCCATGAGCAACACCTCCGAGTGATGTGACGGAACACACACTGCAACATGAAATACTGCAAATCAGATGAGAGATTATACTGTACCTCACTAACCACTTCTATTCACCCTCATGCTATCAATGGCACTTCCTCATTTTACACTGTCCTCAAACTAGATCCTCTGCTGAAGAAAAGCAGTTCCCTTCAAATGACCGGGAAAAGGCTCAGATGACGTGTGGTCCAGTGACTAGGTGTTATTCAAACATAAATACCAAACAGCAGGTTTTGCATTTGGAAGGCTATCGGGAGAAGTAATTTACTCCTTCCTGTGCCCAGGGAGCATGGTTCTACGCTTTGCTCCCCTCTGAGCAAATCTCGTCCAGCTGAGCTTAGCAGATGAGCGTGCTCAGCGCAGAGCTGATTAACAAACTCAGTTTCTTCGTCAGCTTTGCTCTGAAGTTTTCTCTCCCGGTGTCACTGTTCCACATGTTTCATCTTTCACGACGATGCATCAAACTGCCACCAGTGCCAGGGAGCAGAGGTTTGGCACGAACTGTCTACAGCACCACAGGTCCAGCCAGGTCCTCAATATTACATCTTTTTCATGTGTAAGCCATCAGCTACCTAAGAAACGTTTTAAGCATAAGAACCAAGAAACAACCTTATTTTCTAATTGCAGCTTCAGGTCACAGGTTATGTTTTCTCTCTTAAAAAAACTGCATTGTCACCAGCAGGGAAAGTAGAAGACAAACTTGCTTTGGGTAAGAGGCAAAAGTAAGAAAATATCCAACCTTACACTGCGTATTCTGACAGCATCTGCTTTATAGAACTCATATCTCTGTTTACTATTAAAAAGCTCTTATTTGCTGAAGCATTCCCAGACCATATGTTATCAACAAATGTTACTAACCAAATACAAACAGTAATTTTCATTAAGTTCCCTTCATGAGAACAACATTAACCACAAAGGGAATAAATGTTTCAAATGACAGTAAACATACATAGCAAACCCTTGACAACACTGTGGTGCTTATATATTCATACCCCCAAAAGCCCTGAAAAGATCCGCGCCAATAAATAGAGACCCTCGGAAGTTGGGTTTTGTGCAGGTTGAAGCCTGTGGTGATGTCATTAGTTGCCATAGTGATGCTCAGCATAAGGCCATAATTCATGTCACTGTAACATCATTTGTATTCAATCTAAGTACACAGTTTATCTGTGCTGCGTGTTAAATTATTGTTCAGAAAATTAGCTCTGGACAGTAGTTAGGTATTAGGATCTTTTGGGGGACTAACAATGTAATGGTTTCATTTCCATATTTAATAATTAAGCAGGTTATCACCGCAGGAGTTTATTTGTTGGGAAACTGTCTTGGGATCTGTTCTGGACAAATCTTCTCATGAAATAGCCACACTATCTTGTCCCCATATCACAGAACTCATGCTTACACTTCAGAGCAATAAAACATCTGCAAATGAGGACAAAATAATGTCATTCTGGCCAAGAAGATATATATACACACACCAGAGAAAAGGATACAAGCAAAAAAACTGTGACAGTACTTTCTCAGTCAGGACCATATTAACTGTCTGAATCCCTCCTGAAACCCTCAGCCCAGCATTTCTTATGGCCCAGTGTATCCCAAAGCCTGGAGCTGGCCAAGAAAGGCTGCCATGCATAAGGACTTTGCTAGAATTATTGCCCTATTTACTGGATCTGTGCTGTTCCATTGATGTCCATAGGATCTACTTGCATCTCCGGCGTTTCTAGGTAGACATCAGACTTAGGATGAGTAGCTAAACTTTTCTCACTGCAAAGAGCTGGAGGATATGCCCCAGGTGCTAGCTTGAAAAATGCTTGCCCTTGTTTTACCTTTTACAAGCAAAATAAGTAGATCATCACTGTAGATTTTGTATCCACACAAAGTTGCCATCACAGTTACTAACCAAACAGCCTAAAGTGCGGAGATTTTTTTCTGAATGAAACGTAAAATGACACATATCCAGAGGGCATGAGTAGACAACAACTTCCCTTCAGTCACCCTTGTCCCCCACTACCTCCATGGGTTTGTCTAAGGTGGAGCACTTGAAGGATGGGCCTCCCTGTCTGATTTCGGGAGCATTGGGAGCTCTCACTTACGGACAAAAGAAGTAAGACCACCTAGTCTCCTCACATTCACATTGCCAGCTGTTTTTCTCCATGATATCCCACTTATCTCCAATTTTCTCAGCTGTCATTGAGAGACACTGACTTAGTAATTTCTATTTGCCTCTTGCGTGTAAATTCCTCAAAGTAAACCATTAGTACCCATGACTTTCCCAAAAGTGAACATGCATGTTAGTAGCCACGAGAATGTATTAAATTCTTGCATTCATGTATTGTGATCTTCAAGTCTGCTTAGCCCCTGCCTAACTTGAAACAGTAACCCTTCTTCCATCATTGCTTTTGTGACTTAATCTGGCCAGAACACCGATGCCTATGATTTCTACAAGTAATGAACTTATATTGCGGGGTGATGAATCAGCCCTGCTAACCAGCTCAGCCTGTCACTCGGCTAACATGGGAGCAGCTGGAGAGTGATGTGCTTCCGACAGGGTTGACATTTCAACATGATCTATGACCAAGATTTCACGGGCTTCAAAACTGCCAGAGGACACCTTTTCCCCCTCTCCAGTTATATTTATTGAAATGGGTTTGCTTGCCAGCTTGCATGGAATAAACATGAATAAAGCAGAAAATAAAAGTAAAAATGTGTATTAAAGGAGAGCTACACTCTTCCTTCAGTGACTCCAGGTGCGCATTACGCTCAATGTACACAGCAGTATCCTGGGTCACGGCCCCTCTCTGCGGGAGACGCTGCCCTTCTGCCTTGTTCTCACAAGTTTAACGCCTAAGTAAAAAAGTCTTGCAAAATAATATTCCTGCACGTTGCCCAGTGGTTTACTGAACTACTGCTCAGCATCGTTTTTCAAGTGGAAGCAAGTCAGCAGCG